CTGCTGGCTGGGCTGGGCCACCTTGGCCCGGGAGCAAGAGGAATGGGTGCCATATGGACATCGTCTCAACCGCAGGGTGTTTTTTTTCCCCTTTAAAAGTATGCTTCATTCTTGGCTCCTGTCCCAGCGTGACTGCATAGCTGGAATTCCAGAGCTGCCTGCAGGCTGCCGAGCGGAGCTGCCGGGGGAAGGAGGGGGCTTCCTGGCTCGCTTGCTGCAAGATGCAGCATCACACAAAGCTGGAAGGGGAGAGCAGCCTGGTTAATGATTGCCAGCGCACTGAAAGCTGCTCGGCACCGTTTCCCTTTGTTAACAGCATGCCGAGAGCGTTTGCATCATTAACTGCTTGTTTGTGGATCACATAATGCAAACCGATGCATTTTCGTAGGTACCTGGCCTTTAAACTCCCATTTTCTGCACGTCTCACCCCAAGGTATGGTTTTGAAAGGCATATTGATGACACCAAGGAGATAAGATATATAGAGATGGTTGGCAGCAATGCATCCATGTTCAGACTTCCCAAATTGGCGCAATGGTAAGGTATATTTAGGTCTAAATTGCCTTTGAATGGGGATTATTGTCTCTCAAACCATCCAAGGCAGAAGCTGTGCAAATTTCCTTCCCCCTAACCAGCAGTTCGTCCCCGGGAGCTGCGAGCCCAGGCTCAGCCTCGCTGCTGTCACTGCCGAGCGCGGGGCCTCGGCTTGGCCTCGGCTCACCCTGCCGAGCAGCAGGAAAGCTTTGCCGCTAGGGCTGTGTGAAAGGGACTTGATTGAGGCCACTGATTTCCTTTCGCTCGTGCCCAAAATTAGCTGTTTTTTGCAAAATCCTGGCTTTTTTCCACTGCGTTTAAGTGAAAAAGCCAAACTCCGCCGTGGAAGATGCTCATCAGCTACAAAGTGAAGGGCAGCGCATGTGTCTCACGGGGCAGGAAGCCCAGCTCTTGAGGAGCTGGAGCCTGGGTCATTTTGGGGAAAAGCATTCCCTTTCCCGGAGCAGAAGAGCTGCTTGTTGAGCCAGCAGTGCACCGAGCTCCTTCACAAGAGCCGTTGCAGGAGAGCTTGGTAGGGGCACACGCTCTCCATCTGCCTTGCTCCCGTTCCTGCCTGGGGACTAGCCTGCAGCATGGGACATTTGGTGACATCTTAGCGCCAGTGAGATCATGAAATAGCAGGGAGACGGGGCAGCAATAATGAATCTGCTGAGCCAAGATGATGTCATGAGCCTGGAGCCTTACGAGGGATTTAGTGGTTTGTGCCGTGCAAGTGAAAATGAATAAACGTAGAGTATTTATCCAGGCAGAAAGTAAATGGGGAGATTAGAGCCATCATTGTCACGGCAGCAGCACCAAAAGCTGACAGCGTCCCCAGAGCCAGGGCTGCCCGTCTGGAAAGAGATGGGCAGGAAGGGTGAGGAGCCCATCCCGGAGCCAGGCTTCTCTTTGCCACAGGCATGTGGCAGGGATTTGCATCCTAATTATTTTTCAGTAGTCTTTTTAAGCTCTCTTCCCCAAGCGCCTCCCCCTGCTCCTCTGGGTTACAGCCTGCAGTTTGTTTTGGGCCCGGGAATACAGGGAGCTGCTGGACCCTGCAGAGCGGAGGGGAGTCCCTCGAGGCTTAAGGCGGCGGAAGGTAAAGTCCAGCCATTGACCTTTATGATTCCTTTCCAGCTTGGAGTGCAAAAGCTCTTTTGCCCAAGGGAGTTCTCAGCTTAGGTTTTGAAACTGCCATAAACTTGTGTCTTTCCACAGTTGAGGGAAAAAAAAAAAAATGCCACTACCAAAATGGGTGCTGCCGCCTGGCTCCGAGTGGTGCGGTCAGCTTTGCTGTTCATCAGTTGCCCATCTCTGCTGAGGAAGTCCAGCCTAAATTTTCAGCTTTTGCCTTTGTGCCCCTTTCTCCTTTTAGCGTCGTGGTCGGAGCACGCGGTGCCGTCCTTCGGCAGCAACCGCTGCTGCCGCTTCGCTGGAGCAATTCTTTACATGAGGTGACTCTTCCGTCCACAACACAAATCTCACTGTGCTTGAGCTCCCCAGGTTTTAAAATAAACTCTCCATCAGGTTTAGGATTTTTTTTTCTCTTGTTGTTAGGAGTCGGTTTTGCTCTGTTCTTGTGCTAGAATTACCCTGATGGTAGATCTTACTAGCGCCAGATGTTAGAAATCAGAATCTTTCTTGTTTTTCTTGGTACTGTCTACTCCCACTGCACCCTATTGAATATTATCTGAAGAGTAATCTGATGATTAGGAGAGATAGGGAAATAAAACTTTATGTAGATGATCTTTCTTCATCGCTTAGCTGACTGAGAGGCACCACACTGGAGGGTTGGTTTGATAAGGATGTAATTGCTCCTGAAGGCAATTACCATTTTTGCTTCCGAAGTTTCTTAAATGGGAAGGAGACCAGTGTCTGCTAGTACAACCATCTTCATCCTCCTGTGTAACCCTGGGGACGGTGTGTGGGCACTCCTAGCTGGCACAGACTTAATGCAGTAGTTGTTAAATTACAGGGCTGGAGCAAACGACATCTTAAATGTGGATCCTGTGGAAAATCCTGGAAAAGCAGTAACAACATCAGGATACATTCCTCTGCCTAGATATACATCCTGTGCTCCTCATCAGACTTTCTCTATGCTTTTGCATATTCTCACCCCCTCACATGATTTTCAGGGTGCAGGTTTGTCATTAGCAGTGTTGAAATAACCGGCTTTTCCTCTCTGCCTGGCTGAGGCCGGGTACCTACAGCGAGAAACCCTGCAGCCCCCTTCCCTGCCTCGTGGGACACGGGCATCCTGGCTGCTGTTTGTGTAAGAACATGACTTGCCGTGGAAAAACTGGCTGCCGTCCCAGGTAGCGAGTGCTGCTCTGGTGCGCGGTTGATAAAATGATGTCGTCTCCGTGCAGGTTCGCCCCTCAACAGCGAGGAGCCGGTGTTAGAATTACCTTGTGCTGTCACTGCTAAGCTGCTGTTAATCTAATTACTTTTTCTTTTGTCTGTCTTTCTCCCTTTTTTCCCCCATCGTCCTTGTGTTGTACGCTTCGGCGTGCCGCAGTACAAATCTGTGTTTAGGTCCTACTCGCAGGACTTTGTGCCTCACAACCAAGTCTCCATACCTCCTTTCCTGTCTTCTACCTCCTCGTCCTGCTCCACCCCTCCTTTTCCGCCCGTCCATCCGTCTCAGAGCTCTGACCTAGCGGTGCCCAGCACAGCCAGCCCGTCACCCAGCACTGTGGATGTGCCAAACTCCTCTTCTCAGGAGAGCAGCTTTAACGGGAATGCTCCTGTCTGCCTTCCTTCTGAAACCTCTTTCACTGATTCTCTCCAGACGTCTTCGGTGAGAATATCCAAAGAGATAATGCACCTTAATGCGAGGCTGGTTGTTTTTGTTTTTAAAGAAATGTCTCTTGCATTAATGCACGCTTAAGCTCAATGTGGTGTAGTTTGGATTCCGCACGTGTATGAAGACAGAGAGGTGATTTTTTTCTTAATAAGAATGATGTGTGCAAAACAACAAAGAACGCAAGCGGGTCTGAGAAACCATTAGCACATATGGAGGGAAAACAGAATGTCAAATGCTGGTGAAAGGGAGAGGAGAAGGAATCGCTGTAGCTCCCTGGAAGCATCGTAGTGCAGAGCTGCAGAAGGGGAAGGAAGGACTTGTCTGCTGCTGCTCTCCCAGCGCTCGGGTTTGCTCTCCTACATTCCCCCTCCGGCACCCGCGAGCCCCTGGAGTGGCCCAGACCCCGCTCGGCTCCCTGCTCTCCTGTGCAATAAACTTGTTGATTTCTCCAGGCTCCTTCTCTTCTCCGTTACCAGCAGCCATAGTCACGTGTAGGTGGCTGTGCACGTTGGGGCGATGCATCAGATCAGGCTGGTCCCCCACAGATGACACTACTGTTTTAAGGTCCCCGATGGGTTTTGCACGCCGGTGGGCCAGCAGCACGAGCTCTGGTAGCAGCTCTGCCTAGTGCGGAGAAGGGACATGGACTTTGTCAAGGAACTAGTTGGCTCCTCGCAGCTTCACACGTGACCTTGCCGTGGTGTCTCCCTTGCGTTGGGTCCTGGTTTGAGCCCAGATGTCCCTGAGTTTGGTTTAGGCCGGTGTTTAGGTCGGCTGTGCTGTGTAGCGTGGTCTGGGGACACGACGGGTGTTTCCTGGGCTGCAGGACGGACAGGACAAGCGCTGTACGCTCGGCTCCTGTGACCCCGAGGCCTGCACGTGCGCCCTGTGCCTTCACGCAGTGAGTGGACAGCTGCTCTTGCAAATCAGCCCCTGCTGCTGCCGTCCTGGATAGTCCCCAAGAAGCAGCAAAGGGAACGCGCGGCATCGGGGCCAGCGCGGGAGCCTCCGCGCTGAGCTGAGGAAGGGCTCCCTGTTAGGTGGCAGCAGCAGCATCTCCCCCCGCGCAGAGGCCGGTCCCTCGGGCCGGCCGCTCCGTCACGTATCTCCTTTCGTCCTGTCTCCCCTAGAGTGAAAACGCCAGTGAGGAGGCTGGTGAGGGTGAATACGTCAATCTGTATTCCTCTGGCCAGAGCAACGGGGAACTCCCTCCCTCTGAAGGAGTAAGTAACCTGGAGAGGGCCAGGCCCTGGGAAGGGGCTGCTTGGTGCATGCTGCGTCCACGCAGGGGCTCACGCGCTTCGTACCGGCCTCTTCTGCGCTCTGGGGACGTTGTGGCAGTGTCACGGCCCCGCTCCGGAGGCTCTGCCGAGCCCGGCAGGACGTAGGGACGGCTCTTCCTTCCACCCTTCCTTGTGCTTTGCTGTTAGAGCTGCTTGCCCGCGGTTCCCGTTCTGGAAAGCTGCGCTCTTTGGCCAGTCCTGCAGGCCTGTGTCTGTATCTGCTTGGCTTTCCTATTTTAATAAAACCAGTCTTCTGCTTCTAATTTTTACTTTTCCTTCACTGTTTGGACTCAAAGTAAGTAATTGGCTTAGCCTTGTAATCAGAGAATGTATCTTCCTTTTGTGCAGTGCTCATGTACCAGGAATTTCCTGCAGCGGACGGGGTGTATTCCGTGGCAGGAGGCACCGTCTTCCTGCTGTCCTGGGGAAAATAAGAGCAGAGGGCTCTCTGCTGTGGGGCTTTTTCTTGCCCACCCGCACCGTGGAACACATAACCCTGCAGGATGTCCCCAAAACCTTTATCTGTGCTAGGGCTAAGTGGCCCAAGAGACAGTGTTCCCATCACTTCCCTTCGGGAGACACATCTGGGTAGGCCCATCCCTTTGCACAGCAGCTGGAGGCTCTTTACTATGACATTTAAGTGCTTTACAGATACAGAGTTGGGAAAAAACCCACAGATGCTAAGAAGCCTAAACTCATCAGTGCTGAATCCGGGTAGCATGTAGGTGGTTTCAGTTCTGTCTTTTCAGTAGGTCGATGAACTTCCAAGTTTCCTTCTGCATGATATTAAATAACTCTGAACTCTAGCGCTGTCAGATTAATATCCCCCTTTGCCATTCGTGGCTGTTTTCCTTCTTAACGACTGGCTGTTTTAAACTGCTGTGTCTGTGTTTGCTGTTTGCTCCCTACCTGCTGTTCCACGCCACAGGTTCAGGTGCTTCTGCCTTTCCGAGTTAGCAGCGTTTCCACAGCAGTGGATTGTGGAGCGGAAACACTGCGTCATGGCACAACTCCTGTGACAGGAGAGAGGGAGGCAGAAAAATCCGCTCGCATCCACCCACGAAGAGCATCTAGTCTTTGGGGGTTGTAAACTAGGAGGGAACTGAAACTGGAGAGCTTAGAGCTGGCTTTGACCATGCTGAATAAAGCCTAAGGCAAGTGTGTTTCAACAGCAAGGGCTGGAAAAGAAAAATGAAAAAAAAAAAAAAGGCCATTAAAGGGTTAAAATCCAAGACAGCAGCTGACTTGTGTTGTAACTTTCGGCATCATTTACACAATGTTAAAAGCAAACAATACTAATTACACTAGTCTCCAGAGATGGTCCCAAATTTCCTGTCTAATTAACTTCTGTGTTTTCCTGGCATTTGGCATAAACTTGCATAAATCTTTAACCACTGTGGTGGAATTTACAGTAAAGGGCCATGTAGAGGCAGTAAGACTGCAAATGCAAGATCAGTTGTAGTGCAGAATCCCATGCAGTAATGAAAAACTTCCTTCTCTTTGTAGGAATCTCCCTCCATCAAAGACGGCCACTCCAAAGACTCCACTTCGAACAGCAGTGCCATGGGGAAGGAAGGCAAAGATGGTGCTGAAAGGTGAGCCTGACTCCCGTGGTCCATCCACGCAGCCTTCAAAGCATTCAGATTACCACCAACATCCTTTTAGTCCAGCTCTCTGCAAACCAACCCTTAGGTTGCCTCCTGTTTTGCGTTCAACCATCTCGAAGTTCTGCAGACCACTGCAGACAAGGACGAGGAGGATCCAGCAAGGTGGCATTGCTTAGTGTAGCAGGATGGCAAGGGTTAATGCAGCCTGGGTTGGTGGTAATTGGCTTTCCTGTCACTGACACTGGCGGGTCCCTCCGGCTTCCAGGAAAGAATGCAAGAAAAGTCTGTATCGCTGTTGGGAAATAGTCTTCCAGAAGGGAATTTCTTCCTAACTCTGCTAGTTAGTGGCTGGCTGAGGCCCCAAAGCAGGAGCCTTTCTATCCCTTCTAATGCTCTTAGCTATCGTTTGTCTATGTAAATGAAGAGGTGCCGGCTGTAACAGATGGGCTTCAGTAGAAGTGGAGTGAGTGCCTCCCTGCTGCTTAAGATTGCTCTTCAGTTGAATTTTTAAAGCGAAAATAAGGCAGGGCATTATTCTGTATGTGACAGTCAACTTCCCTCCCCCATTTGCCTACAGCTGGTTTGAGGGTTTTAATCCCTGCAGTGAAGAAGACAATGCAACAGTGCTCTGCAAAGCTCAGGATCTGGCAAAAGTGCTGATCGGGGCAAGGGATTTGGGCCTGTGGCTGGGGAAAGCTGTGGAGGCCACGTGCGTTTTACTTATTCATTTGTTTATATATTTTTTAAGGAATCCAGGCACAGTGTGTGCCCAGGCATAAGAGGACTTCCCTTTTGGGCTCGAAGTGTTAGAGTCATGGAGGGGCAGAAAAAGAAGTGGTAAAAGCTCTGCACCGTATCTTCCTGCAAGAAAGGAAGAGCATCTCCCCTGTCATCTCCCCCTGCAGCAGCTGGGTTGTGAGCTGACTAAAACACATGCGTGTGCAGTGTGCTTGGTCTCTATACATTTGCAAAAGGGCTTAGATTTGTGTGCACTGAAAATTTGGCAGGTTAACAAAAGCAGATACTCATGCAGGCCATAATAAAATCCTCTCGGCCAGAAATCCAGGAAGACAAGTGTTTAGGTCCTGAAGGTTCATCCTTCTTTTCTTTCCAAAAGATACACAAAGCAACAGAATTAGAGCTAGATATTTGGCCTTGTTTGCAGAGGATTTACCTCTAGACTTTCTGTGTACTCAGAGCAACGTAATGAAGGTCTGAACACGGAGAGCTCAGCTGGACCCTGCCTCTCCTCTCCCCTCCTGTGTGTCTGGGTGATGGCACTGATGGTTGTTTGCTTTTCTCCAGGCAGCAGCAGTCACCAGATGCGTTGGAATCGTCACAGCTGGAGGAAGAGGTAGATGAGCTATCCCTGATTGACCACAATGAAATTATGTCGAGGTTAACGCTAAAGCAAGAGGTAGGTGCTTTCAGGGGTCACTTTCATACTCCTTGAGTTATGATCTGCTGAAATCTGACCTCCGTGAGTGCACAGGCATCAGAGTTTATTGGAGTCAACAGGAAAAACTAGGTTATAGCAGACACAGTGTACAGCTTTATGTGCAAACTGCTGTGCGAGTGCAAGGCGCTAGTATAGGCAAGGAACATCAGCACCGAGTGTGGGCTTAACAACACGTGCCATGTCTCTTCAAACCAGCTCATGTGCTGCCCTTTTCCCAGTCTGCTCCCTCCCACCTCTTCAGCCTGCTACAGTCCCAAATGAGGCACCTGAGAGTCCAAACACAATAAACCCAGGTGAAGGTTTATGGTGTTGGCCTTTCCGTCTGAAGGCAGGTTTAGCAGCTTTCCCAGTAGGACATTATATTACAGATCCTGGCTTTGGAAGAGCAGCCAAAGTAGCTGTTCCTGTGTTTGGGAAACGGTTTGGTTTCTAGCCTTGGGTGCACTCCCAGACGTCTTTCCTAGACTCTTAAGCCAAGCTGTCCCTGATGTGCAGCTAGAGGGAATATGCAGGCCTCGAACCTTTCAGCCTGTCAGGAGCTAGTCTGAAAAACAGAGGGAATTTATCATTTACTGGCACTCGAGGAGTGTTCTTTGGTCGACTGAGATGCACAAGAGTGAGCAAGAAGCTATTACTCATAGTATTTCATTAGTCTTGCCAGAGGATCACCCAATAAAATCATATCTTAGACCTAGCTACCCCATGACTGCAAATCCATGGGGTTTTTTTTCAATATTTTGCATATTGAAATGACAGAGACACTGCTAAGGGAAACCAGACATTGATTCTAGTCTTTACCTTGCAGGAATTAATATGACCTTAAAATAAACTTTAAAATTGGTGATTTCTGAACATTCTGGACTATCAAATCTGTGTCAATCCTCAACTTTTTTTTTTTTGTACAATCTACATGTTTAAATCAGTATAAAACTGCTTCTCTGAGCCATTTGTTATAGTGTGAGAACCACTGGCCAAGTGGTAGATTAGTTTTGCATATTTTTAGTAATAAATGCAGTAGCTAAAAAAAAAGCAGTTTTCAGAGAGTGGTAAGGCAGAGGTCAAGCACTTAGCAGCCCGGGTTCCTGCTCCTGGTTATTGGATCCCTTCAGGTGACCTCCAGCCAAATAGTTCCAGATTATGGAATTAACTTGCTAGGTTTTGATGTTTCAGAAACAGTGAAGTCAAATGCCTGACCCTTCACCCCACAGCCGCCGTGGTACGTGATCGTGCACTTTGAGCCAGTTCACATGGTGTTCCTGCTCTTTTAATGGTCTTTTGGGAGCTCTGGGGAATCTGGGACATTTCTGCTCTTTCTTTGGTGGGCAGAAGTTTCAGCTTTCACTGCACTTCACAGTGAGCAACCCGGAGTGTGCATTAGCCCAGATCCTCACCTGGGACACCAAATGTTGTCCTCAGATTGCAGGATGAGCCCAGCACTTACGATCGTGCCCCAGCTTGTGCTGTGAGCAGTGCCAGGAACACTGTGTACTCTGCCAGTTAACGCTCAGTTTGGACCCCAGGGGTGGCAAATCTGGCTGAAGGGAGCAGGGGTTACGTGTCATGTGTTTCTCTTCTCGTTGCAGGGAGATGATGGGCCAGATGTTCGTGGTGGGTCTGGAGATATTTTGTTAGTGCACGCAACAGAGACCGACAGGAAAGGTACAGTGGATGCACCCAGGCAAGCTGCAGAGTGCAACCTGGTGTGGCCTTTTGCTGATTTTAAGCTGTGTCTGTAGTGTGAGCAGTTGCAAAGTTACCATATGCAGCTGGGCCATGGTGGAGAGGATGGCATTAATGATCCTGTGAGATGCGGAGGGGATTGTGCTTATCTTTGGCGAAACAGAGGTAATCTGGATAAGCACTTGTTCATTCCATTTAGCAGCAGGGATGGTTTTAACTCCTTAAAGCCCTTGACGATCTCTGCACGGCGAGGCCACCAGCGGAGTTGGTGACAGTGCTGCATTAGTGGCTCCCTGCCTGCAAACGGCCTGTTGTGGCCTGTGTGCTAAAACCCGTCTTTATCTCCCCAAACGCGGTCACCTCCGCACGATGCAGCTCCCTTCCGAGTCCTGTGACAAAGGTGGCCTTGGTGACATTTCCAAGGAGCGACTCTGAACCTGCCAAACACATTTGTGCTGATGGCCCTAACCAGAACTGATCCCCTTATCTCCTGGGATGGAAAGCAAAATGCCCTAACCTGTTGAACCACTCAGCCATTTAGAGGCTTGACCAGTCAAAGGGGAAATAACTTCCATGTGCATTTTTAAATGGCAGCTTCTTTACTGTAGCAAAAGGTGTTTGCAATTGCTTACCAGCACCATTTGGCTGGGAAGAAAATCCCTCCACTGGCAGATATATTTGTCTGGCTATGTGAGGCATCCAGCCCTGGCACACAAGGCCAAAACGGGGAACACAGCAGAGAGAAGGGCACAAGTCATCACGCTATGGCTAGATATGTAAAAAAAATAAATCAAGGTGGTGAAAATACCCCTTTTAGAAAGCTGAAAATAGACTCTGATTTACTATTGCTGCACCCCAGAATGAGCATCACATTGGAAGAGCTTCCTCCACGCTGTTGCTGTTTAAAGACAGCTCCTTGATAAAGGGATGTGTGTTGAACAACCAGCTCCTGCATGGGGAGCTTTGCAGATGTTGCAAACAGGGAGATGAAAGTGGCGGAAAACCTCTCAAGACTGGGGAAAAAGAAAAAAGAAAAAAAGTAGAGCAGGGTTTTAAATACACAGCAGCATGGACAAGGGCAGATGAGTGGAGGGAGATCTGAGCAGAGTTGCTCAGAATAGTCCCAGCCTTCCGTCCTGGGCCAAGCTGTTGATCTGAATGGAGCATGGAGGAATTTGTGCTATGCTAACCCACTGTTTGGGTGCCCGAGAGGGTTAATGAATTAAGCTTACAATGAGAAGAATTCGGGGCTTGTAAATCAATCAGCCAAACTGCACGGAGGGGTATAGTTAAGAGGCTCTCCTTTAAAGATGAATTTCTTGGCAGCTTCGAGTGCCAGAGCAGACCAGCTGTATTACCTCACGTTGCCTTTTGGGCAGATGGGAACCCAGAATAAACGCGGCTCCACGCCCTATTGCGCGATGCTTCTTGTCCATTTGAGTTTTGTGGAATTGCTGTATGAAATAAGGGATAGAAGGAGACGGTATCCCTAGGAATAAAATCCATGGTCAGCGAAGCGCTGTCAGCCCCACGCGCTCGCCCTGAGCACAGGATTACGGCCAGGACTCCTGGCCTGGACTCACCTCTGACATGACCACCCAACCTCTGGCTTTAGAGCTTAGCTCTGGGTATCCTTAACTAAAAGCAGCTCTCTCTGATTTAAGAACAGTGGGAAGAGGCGTCTGCAGGAGGTGCCTGCCGAGAGAGAGAAGCTGCAGGCAGAGGGACCCCAATCTGCCGTTCCCTCCCCATCCGCTGGGCCCCGCGCCCGCTGCGGGCGGCCCTGCCCTGGCTG